AACGAGTTCTTTTATGTTTACAACTGATCAATAAACTCTAACACTGGCAAGTGCATGAGAACATACACACATGAATACACACACACACACACACACACACACACACACACACACACACACACGAACAAAAGCACACTGGTGAATGGTAATGCTATTGTAATGAGTGTAAGCTGGACTACACCCATGTGACAGGACAGAGGGTGCAGCCAGGCTGGCAAAACCACAATCGGCCCACCACTTGCTTCAGAAAATACAGATGTAGCATGTTTGAAGACATTTTACATTTATGCAAATCTCTTATTAATGAGTTTCCTTTTGCAGTGAGTTTTACAGCACTTTTAAATGGGGCAGGAGGGAGTATAATGTCAGACACTCCCATGTCAGCTCCCCTCTTTACTTAAGTTTCTCTATCACTCCTTTTTTCTTTCATTCACACACATAAATGAATGAAGAAACAGGACATGAGTGCTATTCTCCCTCAGCCCTCCCTTCCTCCACCTTATTCCTTCTCCATCCCATTTTTATCCTCTTTTCTCCTCCCCTCTCAGCTCAATTAGTCTCTTTTCCACCCTGGTCCACTGATCCCTCTTTAAACTGATTTCAGTCTTATTCCCATTCCCTACTCCCTTGCCTCTCCGGTTCCCTGCCTCATGACTCATGGAGGATATTTTTCAGTGTCACAATCAGTCGGAAAGTTAGGTAAATATAGATCAGAAGCCTTAAAGACGTAGTACGTGTGAGTGAGCACATATCACGTTTGACTACACTGCACACGCCAAACAGGGAGGGGTTTTGCAGTCGTCATTTCTCTTGACAAAGTGAGGCAATTTACCTGCCTGGGAGCACGTCGCCAGGTCTTAAAGCTGGCAAGACTTTTAATCACACATTCACTGGTCTACATTTTAATTCGGCTGGGAGAGAGTTCTTAAATCTGACCTCATCCCGCTACATTTCTCAGTCAGAGAGACATTACATTAATTTTTCAAATTAAAAAGGACTTATGGAAAACACTTATATGGTCATTTTAAAACTTCTTTAATCAATATTTTTATATTAACAATAGACTAAAAGACTGTTTCTGGTGAAATACGTTGAAATAGTGAAATGGTTAGTTTTAAAAGTTGGTGGACAGAAAAACAAAGCTCAAATAAGAGTGAATTCATTAGTTCTTGCTTTTTATTACATATATTTATTGCACATATATGCAGTCAAGCATGATCGTGAGAACTAGATAAAATAAAATACATATATCAGAAAATTAGTGTAATGCAATACAGAGCATTCTCATAGAGAATAACTATTAAACAAACATCTCACAAACACAAAATATATCTTGCATAATCCATTACTTTGAATGCTATAAGCTGTTAAACTTACAGATAATTAGCTTGCTGAGCTTTCATTGAAACACAGGTAGGCTATAAAATTATCTATCATGTGAACTCTAGCATTTAGCTGTAAGCAACTGTGGAAACATACAGAGAACTTTGCACACCTCATTGGCTGCATTAACTCAAGGAGAGTAAGGAAGGAAACTTCAAGCTTTGAGTCTTAATCCAAATCTTGATAAACATTGATGAACATTACATCAACACAGCATCATAATTTAACATCATCCTCTGTTTATCCTGCCAAGTGCTCTGTCACTCCTGGTGATAATAGAGTGTAACTCTGCCCCACTGTAACACTAAAACATTGGTGCTGCTATTGAAATACTATACAGGTCCTAAAAATGTAAATGATTCTTATTTTAAACTCAAAATGATAAATTAAGTTAACTCTATAACTGATCCTGATGGCAGCTACACAATTAATTAACACGACTCCATATTAATGCTAATGTTACGCCATATTTGCTGAGTGTGTAAACAGGCAAGTGTTTAGGTTTGCCACTCTTAGATTTGTAAGGTGATGTCAATGATGTGTTTAAAGGGGCCAAAATATAAGTTGATGCAGGTGTTTCATTTTATTTTTAATTTATTTTTCACAAGCGGCTCTTTTTGTTGTTTGTTGTGGTCAGTATACGTCACATCATTATTCATGTGTATGTAACACTGCTGGGAACAGTTTTACAACAGTTCAATGAGGCCAAATACATATGAGCCTCAGGCAGCTTGAAGGGCCCAACCTTAACCCAATTAAATATTATTGGATATTTTGTGGTCTAAATAAAAGGAGCAAAATGTAAGAAAACAGGTTTTATATTTGTGTATCCTTGTTCTCATTGGTAGCTGTTCTCAGGGGAACATATGGGTCAAACAATTCTGGATTGGTGGCTGTTGAGCATATTAACCTAACCTATAGGTGAATTATGGCCCAAACTAATATGGTTGTAATGTAAATTTCAATACAAGAGAAAATTTGAAAATACTATGGTGTGGTGACATGATGACAGGATCAACAGTATCACTATATCTTGTGATTTGTATGTGGTGTGTTAGTCACTCTCCTGCAATGACTTGTTTAATTTAAAGAAGGCAGAGTTGCATCATCAGCAAACAGCATAAGACTGCAGATTACATTCAACACTTTTCATTTAAACTTTTCCCAGATAAGAACACCGGCTCTGATAAATCCTCAATCACGTTTTTCTACCCTATTCTCTTTACAATCTACCACGCGTGACAAGGAACTGTCCAATGACCAAATGGGAGTCTAGGAGTCATAATACTTTTTAAAATTGGAATTGAAAGGAAAAGGAAGCAGCTTTCTCTCTCTCTCTCTCTCTCTCTCTCTCTCACTCTCTCTCTCTCACACACACACACAGAGAGTTTACACTTGCCACTGGTGAATTAATCTTTGATGTGCACGATGAAGGATTTTCTCTTTGCTCTTAAAGGGTCAGAATATGTTTTAAAGGTTACATAAAACAAGGAATAATGTACTTCTCCTTACCATAATAACACTCAGCTGTTCTCTGGGCTTGAAGAATCACATTATATGTTTATACATTAGAGAAATAACAACCTCTTTAAAGACTGTGAAAGGCCAATTAATTCAGGGGATTGAGTTGATGTTGGATTTTCTTTAACTGTCATTAACTAAAATGATATATTGTATCTGTGTGTGTATAATGTATTGCCTCTCCAGAAAAATATATACATACATTTTTGGTGGCATCACACTTACAATCACCCAAACAATAAGTAATCCCCCCCCCTTTGATATCTTACATGTCAGAACAGTCCAAACTGATGATAAATCAACACAGTTTAGCCAACAGGCTAGACTAGCCTGCTCACTGGGTTCTGTGTTTCTGGGAAATTACAGATTAGATGGTTTATAACATTCTTTGGGGTGTTTAGCCAGTGAAGGGGGCCCCCACAATTTGCAGGGATTATATGGTGCACTTTATATAGGTATGTACATAAAGAGAATGAGTCAAGGCGAGCAGAGCAGAGCATTATTGCCATGCAGGAGCTAATCTAGTTGGAAGCAGCAAGCAATGGGGATAAGAAGGAGAAAGTTTCAAAACAAACATGGCCAAAGATCCAAAAACCTCCACTTAATCTACATTCATACAGGCTAGATTTTGTCCAGGGGCCTAGAGATCAGCTACGTGTCACTAAGTAAGTCACTAATCCCATGCTCTAGTAGCTAAAACTGCTCTTTGTCCTCCCTGCTGGACTAAATGGGGACAGGTGACGTGATAATCTGACTGTTTTCTGTTCGGCTTCAGTTTGTTGTAAAATGCCTGTTACAGCAAAAGGCCCAAAAAGTGAGAATTTCTTTGCCAAGAAAAGAGGGACTTTGGAAAAAACTGGTCTAGTGAAGTGGCAGAAAGAGCAGCCCATGAATCAAAACTGGAAACATGTTCCAGGTACCTTTGTTCCAGGTTTTGTTTCTGAGTTCCTGAAAAGGTTCCTGGGTTCCTGGAAAAGTTACTGTGGTGGAAAAGGGCCAATAGAGGTGGTAGCCCAATACTGCAGTCAATCCAGAGTTTTCATTACATACATTTTTATGAGGCATTGTTTCTCGATGTAAGTAAGCTCCTCATTCACCTCGCTCAGTCAATCAAGTGAAACATCACCTTAAAAATGACTCACTAGTTTAGGAGATCTGATTCAGGATTTTTGCATGATACTGAACAACCGGTGAGCTGATGATCCAGAAAGGCTGGTTTAAGTAATAGATCCATTAGTTTCTTGGTAATTGCGAGATTAACAGTATCATGACCCTATTAAAGCTTCAAAATAACCTACTAGAAGGGAATGTTTCCTTGATGATTCTGTATCGTGTTACAGCAAAACGTCAGGTTAAACTTTTCTGACGGACTTTTCCTGGAGCCCTTTGCGGCAGAATGAGGGAGGTTGCATTTTTTCCAACTGTGCAAATGTCAGTGATGTAATGTAATGTGATGCTAAATTCACCCTAAGGTTAATGAGCATTCAGTGTGGATAGAATGGTGTTTTTGTGCAATTATGGGCAGAGATGGTCCTACCCTAACTTTAACCACACGACGCCGTTACTTTAGTCCAGCCATCTCTTACCAGCACCATAACTGCTTTAAACTTGATCTTAAGTAAAAAACCCCGAATTTTTTTTAAAACCCAGCCCTCCAATCACAGGTGCTTCTGCCCATAATGTGCAGGAAAACCATTACCTAACCAAACCGCTTGTGTTGCGTAATTCTAATAGTTTGTTCCCATTTTCCCATGACAGATTATTTTGCTGTTACATAATCCTTTGGCAACTGAAAAATGCTATCTTAGGTATCACAACAATTCTCAGAAAGCTCTCCTAAATGGTTATCTACAGATTGATTTAACAGATGAAATTACTGCACACTGCTTCAAAGTGCCATTTTATTCATAAGGCTGAATATCTGCCTGTCTGTCATGAAACGCGTGCAGGAATTTCTTGTTTCTCTGATCTATTTCCTTTCAGATTACATTCTGTAGGGACTCTTAGACGTGTGAGCATCAGCTTGCCACACAAAAACATGGATAACCAATGTTGCCTGATGAAATCTCTTGAAAACACAGCATTCAAAACACAGCAACCTTTTTCTTATTTTATATAAAAACAATATAATTTGAAAATAAATATGTTTACTGTTTTACATAGAGACAGAAAACATGTTAATAGTGAAGTAGAGACAAAAATAACTAATAATAAGAGCTCTATGACTGATGGCAGAAAGGATGAAAATTGTTATCCAAATTTAAAACAGTGGTGTTGTGGTAGTGTATGCTGAGCTGCTAGCAGTAATTTATTTGTATTTGCATCTTGCAGGACGGACAAAACACAGCTCCACTACTTATTTAAATACTTAAATACAACTTACTAACACTTGCACACAGATGTGCACACCGGCAAATGCACGTGAAACACACACTCATACACACACATGTACACAAACACACAGATACACACAAATTCTACACAGCACCCACATCCTTAGATACAAGGGGTTGAAAAATCCAGAGGAGATGTCATCAGCACACCAGTACAAATGATCCATTTAGGGAATGTTAACAAATAATTTTTGATTTTTCTTTTTGTTCTGTTTGAGTCGTAGAAAAGCACAGAGGGTCTCCATGCTGAGCGCAGCCATCAGTGACTTTACACATTGGGGGAGAAAGGACAGCTACAGATACATAACACTGCATATATAAATAGACCAAATTAAATATGGGTAGAAGACTGAATACTGAAAATACTCTATAACATTATAAATTATCTAGAATGGACTATTAGGCATATTAAGTACAAGTACATGTACAGGTTCAGATAAGAAGATATGTAATCAATAGATTCTGTATTGAGTTCAACTACTTTGACAATCCCCTCTCCTGAAAAAGGAAATAAAAATAATTTAAAAAGCAGTCGAAAGATTTCTCAGAACATTTTGTGAGGCACAGTTTCTCAAATGGAATCAAACTACAGTATTGGATGTTTTCAGTGGTTTTCATGTAGGGCATAACAAAATATTAGATGCTATATTGACAATCAGTATCCCTTTAAAAGTATTTGGCACTCCAGAGTCTCTTCTCTTGCAGGCTGATCACAATGGAGACATTGTGTAAGTCCATGTCAGTCCTGCAATGTCCTCACAGGAGAGGAAGTGATATCGTGTAGAGAAGGTTTCAAGATGTCCATCAGCTGTCCCGCTTGTCCTGCTGTCGTACTCCAAAAGCAAAAGTAGACATTGACAGACGAAAATCCATCCATCATTTTTGAAATGCTCCCTTGTCCTCTTCAGCCTCACCCGCTGTTTTAGCAGTTAAATATATCTTAGATTGAGAGGTTTTGCAATTTATGATTGACACACAACCACAGTAGACTCATATCCAGTGAAGTAATTGCATACAAGGAATTCACAACAAGACTACACCTGCATCACAAGCCTGTTAGAAATGCAAAACCACATGGCGGCTATTTGCTTTTTGTCAAATGACGGGTTTAGTTATTTGTTTCTGTAGCAGCATAACAATTCTGTACTCTTTTTTTCTTTTAACATGGTCTATATACACACAGATATACAGTGGGAGGAAACTTCAGGTCTGTCTTTCTTTTTTGTTCTCTCTCAGTCAGTCCAAGGGGAATGCTTTCCACAGAAAAGAAGAGCTTACGGTTCAACGGTCAAAGTGCTGTGCTCTGAAATATCTCTAGAATATTCCTTCATCTTGTACATCTGGTGCTCCCACCTCTTTCATCTTCTCGGCTTGTCACATCTAAACAAGAGGAAAAGAATAAACAGTTATAGGACCGAGAAAAGTAGACAGGAGTGTTTTCAGTTCATTAGCACTTATTTGGGCTCATCTTTGTGTCCACATGACAGATGACATTGTGTTTTCGAATGAGACTTTAATCCTACTGGAACAGCCACTTTGGCTCTCTTCACCGACAGCACTTACTTGCAGGTCCTCTCGTTGAGCTCTAGCTGGCGTTCTTTACAGTATTCATCTGTGTGTTTGCAGGAGCACCGGCAGGTTGCAGAATCCTGCACGAACAAACGTTTTCGCCTCTCTGAGCAGTGATCACAGCATGGCTCACAAACACTGGATAGGGACAGACAGAGACAGAGGTGGGAGGAAGAGGGAGAGAGGCAGATTATCACAGTGTACAATTACCACCCATAAGAAAGGGCGCCCTTAGGTCAACCCTTTCATATGCTCCAGTTTGCTCTATCAAGCCACTGCCCGACAAGTTGTACTCGTGACAGTTGGGTAGTATTGCACACAGGTTCCCACAGAGCGGGCAGACATTCAAGCAGTAAAATTACCCTCCTCCACGCCCCCCAAACCTTCCTTCGTTGATTGGACCGCTCACAAATGCCTTGTGCGTGTTAGACATGCAGTGAGCTAAGCTCTGGATTGGTTCATGCAACACAAAACGACACATATTGCAGGTCAATGACAGCACACTCTCACTCTTACAAATAGTCAACTCTTGATAAAGAAGACTCAAGGGTCTGCTTGGTGCACTGTTAAGAAAGATTTCATTTTATTGAGTGAAAACTGAGAACTATATTTCCCACAGAGAGACATTAGATTAAGAACAGAGGCTGAAAGTGGTTTGAATGACATTTCTTAGCAGGGAGTAGAAAATGGACAGATGAAGGCTCAGATACTCCATTGACATCTTAATATACAAATTACAAATGAACACAAAGACACGTATTCTTTCACAGTATGAGCACCGAAGAAACATCATCTTTATATTATTTTTGAATAAAATACGGGTGCTTTTGTATAGTTTCAAAAGAGACAAAAGCAGGAAAAGAAAGACACAAACCAGTACTTGCTAAACAATTTGCTGGTTTACAAATCCCCCCTAGCAAAAAGAAAAAAAAGGCAATAGATAGCCATCAGTCATATCTTTACATTACATAAAACGTACCAGCATTATGCATGAGACAGCAAAACCTGTTTGTAAAGATAAAAAGAACAAAGAGTGGAAAGAGACAGGTACGAGACACAGCAAAGCGGCACAGACTCAACACTGAACACAGGACTATGATTACAATCCTGGTGATCCCAGCATAGATACCAGGACAGTATGAGCAAGTCTGCAAAGCCATGCTGGTGGAGCTGTGATCTGTTTCAGTAGAAGGTTCAAGTTACAGCTAACAGCCGATCTGTTTATTCCAGCTTCTTTAAACATGTCCAATATCAATCATAAAACTACCTATCTGATGAAGATGTTAGGAGCAACTTGTACCTCAAGTTTCTACTGTTTTTAATAATACACTGCTGTATCTCATCCCAACCATCGTCCCAATCTCATCCACAGAGAGAGATTTTATGCAACAAGGAGCTGGTAAGGTTGGGGAAGATTAGCTGGGTATTTTTTTTTTACGGGTGGAGATGGGTTAGGATTCAATTCTTATGAGGTGGAATAAGGCTAGGGTGTCTGCTGTACTTGCCTGGTTATAGCTGTTATATAAAGTTTTGCTAAAGCTAAGTTAGCAAAACGTGTTAGCAAACAAGGCAGAGTATGTAGAACATGACTGACGAGACAAAATTAGGACAATACGAGGAAGCAACATGCTAATTGCTGTGGCTAACGGGCAAATTAAATGCTGCACGTTAAAAGGGGCAAAAAAGCTCCTCCCAAATGAGCTTAATTATGAGAAGCGCAACACTCAGGTGCAGGTAGGTGGAGAAGGCGGAGCTGACATACGCATCGTGAATTGTTTTGTCACGGTTTTTCTTTCGTTTTCTCTTTAGGCCTTTACCCTTGCCTTTTCGGGATTTTCTGTAAGACAAAGAGGACAACAACGCAGAGAGATGCCTGAGAGACTGAGGTGTTAACTGATGTGTTTAGAAAGTCCTTAGCTGATGATTGCTAAAGCCAGCACTGATTAATACAAATCTTTTTTTTTTAATTCTGTAAATAAAAGAGCCAAACAATCACTCATTCAAAACAGGTTATTGCATAATTTGATTGTTGTTAGTGGCTGGATGATAACGTATATGATCATATTATGAGAAAGGCATCAGGCAGAGTTCACATGAGTATATGTAATATGTCAAAAATGGAAAAGTTCCCACGTTTTGAAGTTCAAAGATTGCGACACAAAAAATGCAACAACTTGACAATTTGTTGCAATTGACAAAAATGTACTTTTTGAAGAATAACCTATTGAATGTTTCCTGATTTGTTTAGAGACAAACCCACACTAATGCAGTTTACTGTAAGCGATTTCCAGACACTCCTGTAGTTTGAGAATCTGATGAATATCAAATGTTCCACGTAAAAACCTGCTTTATTGTCCAACTTGGGTAAAAAATAATATTGTTTGAAAAACCAGTACAATGACTTTGCATGTAAGCAATTAAAAGTTGGCGGCTTGTTCTGAAATTTCCCAGATGGGCTGAGGACAATGAACTTGGAATTCACCAAAACTGCATCTTTGAGCCTATCTGGGTCAACACTTTATGGCTGATTCAGCTAGTTTCAGATCACAGCACAATGAAAACAAGCTTGTAAAGCACACACCTGGAGTGCAGACTAGATTAAAATATCAGGGTGCGTGTTCTAATACAAGCTGGGTTGCACAAACTTTTGCTGTAAAGGATTTATGTACGGCTATACAGAATAATTTTGTGATACTCAAATAGAAACAATGCTGTGACATGTCTCTATAGACACTGATGGCTACTATGTATACAGTGCTTAAAGGCAGATATTTTAAAGCAGAATGTGTGATGGTAAAAAAAAAACTCTTTTGACCTCACCATGATGAGTTTTTGGCCAAAGCTGGGGTGCAGGTATGGTATATTCAGAAATGATTATATTTGCGAAACACATTAAAGAGTCAGACTGAGCATTTGTGACGTCAGCAATCTGTATGTTACAGTATTTTAATGATCTCACAGGTGTCTGCTTTCAGCTTGGAGTGATAAAATGTTTTCCTTGTCGAAACATGAAAAATTAAATCCAATATTGCCACAGACGGTGCTGCTCTGGTCTTCGTCTTCTTTGCTGGAACGTACATTAAGTTTGCTGTGCAGGCGGAAGTAGCCCGCTCAGTCGGTGGGAATATTGGATTTAAATATAGGTTCTTCACCGGGCAACTAGAGCCCACTACTGGATAAAGTAAAATCAAAGACAAAGAGTCTACAGCCATGCTAGCAGCTTTGTGAGGTTGTGCTTTGACCTAAATGATGATGTTTCAGTTATTATTTTTTCTTTACCATGCTCACCATCTTAGTTTAGTGTGTTAGCATGCTAAGGCTGATGACCTCATTGACCTCATGATGGAGCGATATGAACAGTCGGGGGATCAGTTATCAGAATTCATCCTCTGCCGACCATGAATGTATTTACCAACTGTGGTGACAGTTCATCCAATAGCTGAGGTCACAAATTGAATGACGCCATTCAATAAGGATAAAATGCATAAAAATGTAATTTCCTTCTTTACTTCTTCAGAATTCAGTTCCAGTTTCACTGTGGACCCGTCACTACTGAGAGGTCAGCAGCCAACGTTAAAACTAACATGAAAGTATGAAAGCATCAGAAACAGGAGTTGAACGACCCTAAGACCATCACTTCGTAGGCGCACACCACCAACTCGTAAACAGTTAAGACAAGGTTAAAGAGGAGGTCTGAAAACTAGTCCTTATCTATATGACAGACGACCTGACATTAAACCAAAATACAAGCAACATCCACCCTGCAATAGAAAGATATTAACGACTGTTCACGGAAGGAGGATTAGAGTTTTAATGACCCTTAGCACACTGTCTTCTGTTGCATGGAATGGGAAGAACACTTCAGCAAGGACCATAAACACAAAAGTTTAACAGGTCTTCAAAAACACTGTTATCTATATCAGAGCAACCAGTAACAGGAGTAACAGAAATAAATAGGATGTAAACAGTAAAGAAGGGAGGAAAGGAATGTAAAGATGAGATAGAAAAGGGAGGAAAGGAGTAAAGGACAGGTATAGAGAGGGCAATGACCTCGTTAAGTGTCACTCATTCACCTGAATGGATTGAGCTGGTATTCCCCGTGCTCATTACCTGAGAGCTGCATGCTAATCTCATGTAGTAGCTTGTCTGCTGGAATTTCAATGAAATAGTATCATTACGGATGTTTTTTTTGTGTGTGTTTGAGTGTGACTGTGTGAAAGAAAATGGAGAGACAGAGGAAAAGGACACGTGGAGTAAAGTCAGAAAGGCCGAGAGTTGAAGAAGACTGAGAGTGAGAGTTTGTTTGTAGAGAAAAACAGGAAATAGATCAAATCTCAAGTCCTCATTGTTTACCCCTAAAAAACAAAAAAGCCCAACCTCCATGCAGAAAGAGTTCTGTACTCACTTTTCTTTCTGTTCTTTCACTTCTTTCTTTAACCTGAAAGGCAGGAACAAAACAACCTGGCATTAGATCACAGCGTGCTGTTGTTTCCTGGTAAACAGATACATATCAAGATCAACCGGAGACCAGAGGTTCATTATCAGCATCTGTGGGCTCCCATCAATCTTTTCAAATCATGTTATGTCATCGTCCTTTACCAGAAACTGTGATAAAACTGTCTTTCACTTTCAAATGTTTGGCTTAGCAAATGAACCAGATTTGTTGTGAAATAATGCAGTGTACACACTCAATAGACAGGCACACAAAGGGGTGTGTTCACTGATGGTTACACACAGACACAGACACACGCACACACACACACAACTACAATAGCAGGTTGTTAGGTTTGTTTCACTTCTCACCATTTGACGACCCTTGCCGATAACAGTGTGGAGCAATAAATTTGCTGGCAACAGTTATTCAAACGTGTTGAGAAATGTGTTTCATTCGAAAAGGTCAACTCACGGCCAAGTTTCTATTTGAAAAACTGGTACAATAACTCTACATAAATATTCTGAATAAAGCATTAAGGTATATGTGTATGTGTGCATATGCACTTTACATAAAGGACCAGTGTGTAGAATTTAGTGGCATCTAGAGATGAAGTTGCAAATTGCAACTAACTGAACACTGCTGGCATCTGTATCTGACAACCTGGGAAAGAGAATGTAGGAGAAACTATGGTGGCCGTGAAACTCGCAAAAAACGTGAAAGTGCCAATCTACAGGGTTGTTTGGTTTGTCCCTTCTGGACTACGGTAGAAACGTGGCAGTTCGACATGACAGGATCCACAGAAGGCAACTCACGCCATCTGTAGATAAAAATGGCACTTAAATTTAGATGGTTTAAAGGTATACTGTTCAAAATGGTCACAAAATGCACGAGAGATTCATTAGTAATGACGCCGCATTTAGTCCAGTGTTACTGTTTGTAACTTTGATATTAATGTTTACTGTTTCATCTCCTGCAGCTGTATCAGAGCTGTATAAGGTCACTGCTAATTGCAGTAGTAGCATAAATGAAAGATAACACAAGTACATCAAAATGAATGGAAGGAATGTACTTAATTACTTTACACCACTGGTTAGAAGTCATGTGACATTTGTTTCTCGGACTATTCGGAAACATCTAACATGTTGGCAGTGACTTGATGATCTGTTTATAGCACTTAATGCCTGTGTAAGTATAGTGAAGTAAATGATTTAACACAGTGCTAAATAGAGTGATCAGTCTCAAAAGTTTTTTTAAGAGGTGCCTTAAAAATGTATAGCTACATCTAAATGGTTTTACATAGTCACAGAGACCAGCAAGTAAAAAAAAAACTAAACTAAAAAAACAACAAAAAACAGTAGCAACAGGACTTGTCCTCAGCCAATTGTCCTCCCTACAATGTTTGTTTGCTTTTCAGATTTCCCGTAAAAGTGCATGTCCCCTCTGTGTTCCTGTGTCATAATTTTTACTAATTCATGTCACACAACTCAAATCTCAGCCACCAAAATGAACAGAGCCTGACAAAACATCAGGAAGGGATGCGTCTCACCACAGCAGCTTCCAACAGAGACCCAAGAGCAATGAAAGTTGACAAATTTGTTAATGATTGGCCTGAATAGTGACAGAATTATTTGGAGAAGACAACATAAAGATGAAATGTTTACTTTTTCCTCGTTTCACTTTTGGAAACCAACCAATTCCCTCATGCCAGTCAAGCTTAAACGCCAGCACAAGAACATGTCACTAATTCGATCCACATGTAGTTGCAACACTTAATCTCCGACTTTACACCAGGCTTCAACAGATTATATTAGCTGCCTTTCACAACAAGAGACAGAATAACAAACTGATCTGTAAAATGTATAAAACACAACACATTGTACCTCATGTCTAACCAGAGGTAGTCGACTTACTGTGACTAGAGGCCACAAAGAGGACACAGTATTTATCTAAGAGATCAATAACTAAAGCTATTACACCTATGTAGTTCCAGAAATGACCTCTACATGCTACAAAAGGCAAACAAAGGATTAGGTAGCACTGTTGTCTCCTCTACTTGAGTAATGTGATGGAAAGAGGATAAAGTGAAGCAATATGGGGGTCTTTTTAAGATCGGTGAAGTAAAAGAAGCAAAGATAAGGTGTGAATGTACCTGATATGCATCTGTTAAATGTGTCACATTGTGTGTGTGTTGCAGTGTGTGTTCAGGCTTTCTTACCTACACTCACATGCGCTGTGTTCAGTAAAACTCATGAAAATATCATTTTGTTGCCTTTGGGGTTTTATTCTTTTAATCTGTAAAAAAAAGAGAAGAAAGATAAATTGTCACATTGATCCACAGTATTCCTAAGCTTCTTATTCTACATCTAAGTCTCAAACTTGTCAGCACAACTGAAGAGATGAAACATTTCAGCAGATGAAACATCAAATGCGCATGGAGAGATTGTAAGGTTCCTCAAATGAATACATGAAACTACCATAAATACCATATTTGCATCACATTTTCCACATTGTTTTCCACTGTCTGAGGTTTGACTAATACTGTTTTATTGACGTCTTTTTACATAAACACTAGTGGATGGAAACATGCATTTTCTTTTACCCATGAACAAGAGATATACAGTTTGATAGGGTCTTCACATCTTATTAGAAATGACACATTTTCAAAATACAATTAGGGGCAATACGGTGGATTTAACTGCCCAAAGCCATTGAGCAAACTTGGATTAACAAAAAGGGCACCTATGTCAGCCATAAGGGTTCTTGGAGAGCTCGTGGCTAATCAGAGGGACACTTGAGGAGCCTATGCCCCTCTGGTGTCACATTTGGGCAAAAATAAAGCATTAAACCCATCCCTGTGAACCCCACTGCACAAAACATCTATTGCTATTGTAGATAAAGCTACTCACCTCCATTGTAATGTTATAGCTGGATGTGGGCATGCACTGCAGCATCTCATCATTGCAGCAGCCGGCGCAGCGTGTCAACACCACGCAGGACGGGATAAAGATGTGCTCCACCTCCTCCGGATACTCCTGCAAAATCTCCACCAGCAGCTCCCGAGGCTGACACAAACTCTTGTTGTACACCTCCATTAAAGGGATCACTGGGAGACAGAGTCACAGTGTACAGGGGTTATAAAATGGCAGCAGAGCTCTAGTCTAAACCATTCACTCTTGAATACTACAGTGCTGTAACAATAACAAACACCTAAAAGTAGACGTGAACTAAAAAAGGCTGGCAGGCTCACAGGGGAGTCAGAAGAGCTGAGATGAAACACATACATACACATGTGTTATTCCATTGAGAAGCACTAAGTTTATCCAAGTAAACAGATTTACCTGCTTTTACATACACTCAACCAATTTCCCATTGGAATTTACAAGCCCTCTATCTATATATCTGTCTTAAGCTCTGCAATAATCTGCAATAGTCTGTTTTTTCACCTTCAGTCTACTTCCCCCGTCTCTGTCTTTGCAGAAGTTCTTTTCTTGAAAAAGATATTAGCACACAGACAGGCAACACCTCCAAAATATCACTCAAGGGCCTAGAACAACCCCAGCCTGACAGCCCTCTGGGAAGCCAAACCAAATATACTGGGCCTGAACAATATCATGAAGTTCAGCTTCTTGATTGTCCAAATTAGATTGGGCAATGCTGGGATTGTGCAAAATGAAATTGTGGGCCAAGAGGGTGAAATTCCATTCTATAAATGAATCTGGTCACCATAACATTTCCCCAGCTTAACCTCAAACAAGAAGGAATGCTGTACAGGATGGAAACATCCAAGTGTTGGGGTGAAACGGCTCTTGTTTGCTGAAAGGGAGAGTTTGGGGGATACATATGGGCAGGGTTAAGCAATTAAATTGTCCACCAGGAGGCGATCATTTCCCTTCAATGTCAAGGTGAACCTCAAACCAGCCCTTTCTTTCCAGTGCAGACTGTATTCCCACGGTGCCCTATGGGACACCTACCGTCATGTGGACCTCTTTCTGTTGGCTTCGGTATGTGGGCACTCTGCAAGTAAAAAAAGAGGGGGAAAAAGCAAGCTGTTAGTTACAGTAGATTGTGCAAGAGTTCGGAAAAAACACTGTGCATGCCTTTCACTTATCCACAGTTGCGCAAAAAATATATTTACATTTTGACATTTCTGTTGGCTACTTCCAGAATTGAAAAACCACATTATGTATGTTATCTTGGGCTTTACACAATATAGGACGATTGAAAGTCAAATGTTCTTCTATAAGCATAGAAAAATATCGTTACTACAGTTTTAAAGAGCATGATTCTTATCCTACACCACATCTGGGAATATGTCCATCAATGTCGCGTTTTCAAGTAAAAATAGTAGTTATTAATATTTAATAAATATACTTAATGAAGTTGCCTGTGTGATTATTATCATTATCATACAGCCTGTTATATGTTGTGCATAAGGCCTTATATGGCCAAACATTTGACCAGATCAATGTGCCAAACCAGCTGACCTGAATTCTACCATATCAGCTACATGACACAATTGTTAAATTACGGTGATGGTTTTGTTTCAGTTAATGTGTGCCTCAGCTGCCTCTTGGCAACTCGGATTAATGACTGTAGCCATTAAAACCGGTAAGAATTTCAGCCTGCTACTTTCCCTCACAGGGGGTAGCTGTCACCACAACAGTCGGACTACAAAGGATTTTTGGCAACCGTCCATCATTACGCACAACTTTATCTGGCCTTCACCCCCCCCCCCCCACACACACACACGCGCTCCCTTTCTCACACACAAGCGCGCGCAACTCACGCAATATATCGCCAATATTGAGTGAGACCCAGTCCTGTAGCACCAGTTTGTATTCGGTGAGAAACCTTTCTCCATTTCTTAATGAAAAGTTTAAAGAAAGGGGGGGTCTGGATGTGTTGGTGCCGCAGTCTCCTCCCCCTTCTGGTGGCGTGAGAGGGTCCAACCTTGTGGGCTGAGAGACCCCAACCCCCCCAAAAACACGATATACTGTATTATTAATTGATGGGTGTCAGGCTGCGAACACCGGCCCCTAAACCTTGTGATGATAGGCCGACTGATTATTAGCAGTTGAGGCAGCATCCTGATATTAAGCGTTGATTGGGTGGATTAGCTGTCATTAAATCAACAAGTTAGTTAAATAAACACTTAACTAGACTCTGGAGGGGGACTATTTCATTAACTTAGGCATGAGATGCTCGAGGGAGAACTTGTGTTGCAACCTAAAACATCCTTGCTTCCTCTGAGGGGGCAAACTCCTATTAGAAATAATCACTGCTGTCAGATATGCACCCCCCCTAATAAAGTTGAATGTTGTTGTATTTTTTTTTTTCACCTTGAAACCTTTTCTCAAAGCCTGCCTGGGCGCACTGCACTCGATTAATGATTATATGGAAAACGATTTACAGCGCCCTGTGAAACAACCATTTAAATTCTCGTTGTCAGCCGGATTAATATGTGAAGTGCTGCTGGTTTTGTTTTGACACTAAGTGTTGAGTTCAGTGTGACAAAGTAAAATCTCTTATTGAAGCGGAGTAGTCTCAGTGCCAGAAGTGAACCTGCTCACACGTCCTAATTCAGAATGGAGCCACTGCGCCTTTAAAGCGTCATAATATCTCCAAGGTGGTTTTAGAACAGGCCTGCAATCACCCAGCGTCAAACTTCACAACATTATTTAAAAACCATCACCTATACCGCATTTGCAACACAAAAAGCGCACCGCCCACGAGTGTGTGGGTTAGGTTTATATAGTGTCGGCTATGCGTAATGGCTGTTTAAACCTCCCTGAAGCCACTAAACATTTCAGCTTGTTTAAACACGAGCGATGACCTAGCCAGAGGAAAGGCAAGGACGAGCTACACATTAATGACCAGTGGCTACATTTCGCAAATAGAGGTCGTTTTTCCCCCTGTTTTTGTCCACTTTGCTCTCTGCAACTCACCTTGACAGCTGACAGCGTCAAAAATATTAGTGTCAAACTGTCAATAAAGTTCATGGTGTTGGAAATCCAATCCAAAGGCAGGCGACGTGTTAAAATCCAAGAGGCCAATGTGGCAATTTGTTCTCAAAACACAAGTACAACAACACAAGTGGACCGGCTACAACTTCTCTAAATAAGGGGCAGGGGGTTGTAATGGCAAATCCATGTTGGTCCCGGGGTCGCAGCATACAATCCTTTGCGCATAACGTCTTCCTTCTCAACTGTTGCCAATGATTTTCAAGATATCCAGAAACACGAGAATCCAAGACGCATAACGTCTCACATTGTTCCGCAGCAGACCTTTATTTTCTTGCAAGGGAATGGCAATCCACATTACAAAAATAATCCCATGCTTGTTGCGCCAGCCGTCTCCGTGTATCTGTCCATTGGAAACTTGTAGCCTACTCCTATGTGGAACTTGAACCCATGGACCAGGATGACGTTCAGTGAAAAAGAAAACCGCGCCGAGAGATACGCGTCCCACAAAACTTTGTCTCTGTGCTCTGGGATTCTTTTTTTAATTCCTCTGTCAGTGCGCACTAAGCGGCTCAGCTCTCTCTGTTAAGACACAACGCGTCCACCTCTGTCTCGGTCTCTCCATACTGTGGCTCTGTAGTGGGACTAGCCTACGAGCAGTGGATGATTGGACGATCATTAAAACAGGGGAGGGGTGTCCTCTGTGGGCTGACATACAGCACTGCGAGCTACTCATGTCTCTTTCAAAAGTTTCTATCTATCAAACGTCGACTCATGTGACCACATCACCAGTAAGCTATTAAAAACGCAGAGCTGAGTTCAGAAGCGAGGGTGTATTTTTCTATTATCCTAGAAAAAGGAATGAAGGCATCCTGATACTGTGGTTGTGGTGTTTTATACTTGAGCGTCACCGGCTGAAATATCATCCACTGTTTCCATGCGTTTAATCCATTTCATCATCTCCACATGTCAAACGCCGGCTGCAGCTTTAAAACCCAACCCGAAATGCAAAATATAATAAAATACAGCAACTGAATTATGTGTTGTTATTGTTGTGATTTATACAGTTGTATATAGTCCTTGTTGTTTAATATGGAATATAAATCTATTTCCGAACCCATTCTCTGGGAGGAAATTACATTTTAGCCGTATTATGACCTTGGATGCATCCCTTGTGTCATTTTTAAACAAATAAATAATACAATTCATATTAATAAAATATCATATAAATAGATCAGACGTGTATTCAGTCTGGCTAATGTAAAGTGCCACACCTTCTCATTTTCCAGTTGCTCTGGTCATATTAGGGCAAATATTGTCTATCCTTGTGGCTTCTCGGGGTTGCAGGAGAGCGTGTGTGTCCGGACACGTAGCCTATAAATCTATGTGTAGCCTATGAGTGCGTGCGCCGGAAAACGTTGCCGTGCAGTGAGTGTGTGACTGCATGAGTTGCCGCCGCATCGCGCCGGTCGGTGCTCGCCAGCACGCACACACTCATGGAAAGTAGGATTATTCGCGTCGTGACTTCCTCCCCGTCACCTCACTGACGGAGAATGGAGTTTCTGTGTGATGTCCCGGTCAGGTGGTCGAGGATGACCACAAGTCAGACTCCGTTTTTTCTCCCTCTTCTTCGGGACAGCAGCTGCGATGTCACGACGAGGAAGAAGAGGGAATACAGAGGGAAAAGGAGACTATATAAACTGAAACAGCTTCACACAGCTCCTTGATGATGAAGATGATGTTATTAAGGACAGCATACATAGCTAGCAGCCTCTTCTCTCCAACACTGGCTGACTGAGCATGTGTATGTCTGTGGTGGAGAGCTTTCATTTACTTCAAGATTCCCTCCAGATATGTATTAAGGGAGTCTGACTTGTTTTTTAGGCAAAAAAGTAAAATAATCCACATTAAAATCCCTAAAAGGCGTTTGCTTCTTCTACCTCATTAAAATAACTGAATATGCAAACTGCATTTATTTTTAAAGTTTTCCTGCTGGACACAAAATGTCTCCTAGTACGCTTGTGACTTCAAGTTTCTACATCACAGCTGAAGTTGAATACTTCCAAACTATTCGTAATGTCACGTTGCCCCGCCCCTTAAAACCAGATTTTCAATGAACACAGAAAAACTTTCCACTTTCAGCAGATGAATGCGAAAACATTCTTCTAGTGTCAAACTCTGCACTGAGATCATTCTGCACAGTGAAGCTCACACATCCAACTATATGAACTTTATTTGGCTTAATAAGGGGAAATTTGTGTTTTATTTAAAAGCCTAAATGCACTTTTTCTCCTGGAGGCAAACGCTTATGAAAAGGAAAAAATGGCATTCAGTGAAATGAGTTTGAAGAGACTGATCTGATTTATATTTAAGCCTAAAAAGTAAACATTTTAACAAAACATTAACCAGAAATGAAAGGCATATGGTATGTCAAATGTGTAGGGCCATGCTATTTGAGTTACTATGTCTGTAATATAGCTAGATAATATAATTTGTGCCTGTGACAGCTCCGCATAGTAGTGATGCCCTCTGCTGGACCAACATGCTGCTGCAGGACTAATGCTGTGCCTACCTGCTGCACAATGACACATTGACAGACACAGAGGAAGTGGAAAGAACTGATAAGTATGTAATGACATAAGTTGGCAGCTATGTGCCTGACAAGTTAGGCTTGCTTGCTACAACTCATAACTTACCATGCATATAGATGGAATGAGGGAGAAAAGAGAAAGAGAGAGAGAGAGAGAGAGAGAGAGAGAGAGAGAGAGAGAGAGAGACACACACAATGAGACTTTACAGGGGAGATAATTGAGGCATGATGGAGCAAGAAAGCAGAGATGCAGAGTGAGTGATAGATAAGGAGAAAGAGAGCTTTCATGATGAGAAGGATTCGGCTGTCATGTAACTGGAGCAGTCCTGAGAGGAGTTTCTTGGCTCGGTACCCATCCGTATTTTAATTGAAGAATAACACTTGGGTTCATTAAAGGTGTCACCAAGCTCCTGTTTCTGCTGACTCAGTGTGTGTATGGGTTTGTTGTGTGTGTGTGTGTGTGTGTGTGTGTGTGTGTGTATGTGTATGCGTGTGTATGCACGCAACTGGGCAAGGTTACTGTGGATACACTAGGTTACATGTGTGAGTGTAATCCCAGTTCCTGCTGACTACATACATACACATGCGTAAACACACACAGAGTTTAATGAAGTGGTCCTTTCTTGAAAGTACATCAAACAGCCTCCTCTGCATTGATCTGCACATCGATGCACATTTTTTAAACGTCATCATGGTACCAGGAAGTCAGGGCGATTCCTGTCTGTGCTGTGGGGACAGCAAGTGCGCTTTAATTAATAAACTTCAGCAAATACACCTAAAGCCGCTACTTTGTGAGAAATACAGTGCAAGACAAAATTTCTATGTCTTGTTTTGAAGATGCTTTTTCGGTGCTAACCTCGTGACAAATACATTGTGTTTCCTGTGGCTGCTTCACAATAAAAGCAACCTCATGTTTCACAAGTTAAATTATTTTAATGTGAGGTAGCAGCAGCGAGAAGTGTTCAGTTAGCATTATCAGTAACTTCATTCAGCTCTGATACAGCGTTAGAAGAGTGAACAGTAAACACTTCTATCAGTGAGATAAAATTATAAACAGTAATGCTGGATTACCTGTATGCATTGTTTCCTGTGCATTCCTTGGAAATAGATAAGCAGCTTGTGACCCACGCAGAAAATGGCGGACCCCACCACTAACTATGAAAACATCTATATAGGGAAACAATTGCGAGTGGAAATACATTTAATCGCTATCACTAAGAAAACGTAGACTGTATTTTTTGGGCTTTTATTGCCTTTATTATAGTGACAGCTGAAGACAGACAGGAAAGGGGGGCAGAGAGAGGGGATGACACGCAGCAAAGGGCCGCAGGTCAGATTCGAACCCTTGGCCACTGCAGCAAGGACTGAGCCTTGGTACATGGGTCGCCAGCTCTACCCACTGAGCTAGCCGGGAGACCTAGACTGTATTTTTGTCATGTACTTTGCTTTTATTCTTTAAATACTTTAGTTTCTATTGTGCTCAGATGGATAATATTTATAAATATGGGCAGTAAAAGGGGGCCTCAAACACAAAATAAATGTACAGAAGTTGAATTTATATTCTTTATTGTCCTTAAATGATCAATTAATGATTTTCCCCTGAAGAAACAACAGTGTGTGTGTGTGTGTGTGTGTGTGTGTGTGTGTGTGTGTGTGTGTGTGAGAGAGAGAGAGAGAGAGAGAGAGAGAGAGAGAGAGAGAGAGAGAGAGAGAGAGGGCATGTGAGGATGAAAGTCACATTGTTTAAATGTATAATGTAACAGACGCATTCCATTACCAAAAGCCTAATGGCTGACTGCCACACTGTTTTATCACCTGGAGCCAAATGACACATTCTTCCTCTCTGTTCCCTCTCCTCCTTTCCGCCTGGTACACTCCCTTTTGTATGAAGTGAGTCTTAGACTCTTGGCGTGTGTTCGTAAAAGCATAAGCTGCTGGCAAGTGTGTGGAAGGGAGTGATTTGCACTGCAAGGTGCTTCTGACTGAGTTATCAGAGTCGACCTCTTCACCAATCTTATATAAATTATCCAGGAATTAACCTTCACAGTATGCCCCGATAATGTGTTCTGATAACATTCACCGCTAAGCGCCATGTGACCGAGCTGCATACGTGTGAGCACATTTATGAACATGCCTGAAATATTAGTGAGGTGTATGTGTGTGACTTGTGTCAGGCATTGTGCTGTAGCAGAGGGCCCATCATGTACGTGCAAATATGTGTGCGTCTCAGATTAAGGTTTAAAAAATGATACATCTACTGTTACAGCTTTCAGGAATAGGGATGTGTGTAATTGAAAGTTACAGGAAAAGATGACTCCTTGGGTCCCAATTCCCAGTAACAAAGCAGTTCTTTTTGTTTTAGTAACCATTTACCAAAAGTCATTCCGTTGCTCAAAGAAAACGTCTGACGGCCATTTGGACTCGACGCGGCACAGATGACTTAACTCACTCCTGATAGCGGTGACATAAATCATCAGCCAATCAGTGTTGTGACCGCTGACCCTGCCCAGCTGTGAGGAGTGTGCCGCACAGAGGCAGCACACGTCCACCCGACCTTCATTACCCTCCTCCATCCTGCTCTCTTATTAGGATGAGCAGATAAGTAGAAGCTTTTAGATGAAGTAAGAGCTAAAGTTCAAGTACTTAAGCAAGCAAGAAAAATGTTTTCCCCTTTTCTTCTCCTGTATGTTCTTCCTTTTCTTTATAGAGCGGTAATTTCCACCCCCTCATTGCTTCTCTCTCTCTCTCTCTCTCTCTCTCTCTCTCTCTCACTTTCTTGTCTTCAGTTTATCTCCTTATGGTAAGTTCCAGTAAGTGAGTTGGTTTTTGTGTACTCTCAGTCAAGCAGTTCAAAGAGTTCATAAGCCTATTTGGTCAGTGAAGAAGAAAAATGATGGGAAAGAGCGAGAGAGGGGAGAATATACTGTACTTTAACCCGACCAAAGGCTAAACCTGTCAACATTGATCATATTCCAATATGTTGGGACTAGCACTGAGGGACCACATGTTCAGGAAGTCACAGCAGAAACAAGCAAATCTGGGAGTGAAGACCTGTGCAGTATGGGTTCATGTCAGTCTTCATGAAAATGTATAACTGCTTACTTCAAATGCTATATTTATCTCTATGAGAGGAAAAGAAAAACTTGATCCTGCGTGGTGACATTATTGCTTCTGCAGTAGCACCTCTGTTAACGCTATACGCTTTCTTCCAAGATAGATGGCTGGTGTTATTTAATCTTATTTGCATATTTTAGCAAGTTTTTATACTTAAAGAACAAAACAGGTCATACTCAGTGTCTTCTAAAATAACACATCAATAGTTTCTGATGCTGTCCCAGTC